CATCCTTATGATTATGATACGGGTTGACTGTAGCTTGGGTTGCGGTTTCGGGTAATTAGGCACGTGGTGAACACGTCTAGCATATCCTTCTGGACGGTGGTTTGGCTGGACTGCAACCGACCGGACCGTTTCGCCATCGCGTGAGTTGCCCGCGCGTTGGTCCGCGCGAGCTCTGCGCGAGGTAGCCCCACTTGGTCGCGTGTGGCGGCAGCCCCGATGGTGGCCAAGTTCGGTTGCTGCCGTCTGGACGTCTGGGCCGTGTCGCCGTCGCGTGAGCTGCCCGCTCGGCGGTCCGCGTCAGCCTCGCGCGAGATTCCCCTGCTCGCTCGTGTGCGGCGGCGTCCGGGTCCGCGGATCCCGCGGCGACGTCCAGTCGGCCGGGGCCAACATGCCACGGTACATGTTTGAGGTTGTTTCCCGTGCGCCATGTGGGGTTCAGGGGGTCGAGTGCCTGAGATGTAACCATCGCACCGCCCCTCCCGAGCGTGGCTTCCCCGCCCTGGAAGCAATGCAGATACATCGCTGTGGGGTTGGGGGCCCAGGCCTTCCCGCTTTGCCTGTCCGCTGCTGCGCAGCGGCCGTGGCGGCAGCAGCGGCGACACCATCGCAGAAATAAAGATGGGCTCACCAGCTCCCTCCTGCAGTCAGCCCGCATTGTAAGGATGGGCAACCTTCCCAAGGGTACCCGTGCATCCTTCACCTTTGGGCCATCCTTGGCCGCTTTCGCTGGCCGCGCCCCGCTTGTAAAGTTTCGACATGGCCTACCAAGGCCCTTGCATCCTTACCGTCCATCCTTATTCTACGGGTTGACTGTACCCCCGATCACCCTTGCTACATCAACGGGCACCAACCCCGAGGGATCGGCTTGCGCGTGCAGCCGACTCTGGGAGGCGTCTCGTCGCTGGGGTCTGGATCCTTGCTGTGAGTCCGAGCGCCCTCCCAGAGAGGGCTGGACGTCGATGTCTCTGAGAGGGGGAGGGGGAGGGAGGTTCGCTGTGAAGAAACGGGGTCCCGAGGGAAAAGGGTACCGAGGTCTTGCGCCGTGCCTCTTGGGGCCCCTCATGGGATCGTCAAAGAAGGACTTGGGATGAAGAGACTAGTACCAGAGGGAAGCCGTGGGGTCCAGGACTGGTGCCACTCGGGATCCACATTCCTCATGCCGACACCAGCAGCTTTTCAGAGGCCCCCACTCTTGCCCCGGCTGTCGCGTGATGAGCTCCTGGGGCGTCGAAGCAGAGCGCCATTGCCAAAGGCAAGTGCCGCAGGCAGGGTCTGATCGGCATCACGGGGCCTTTGCGCAACCACCAGGCCGGCTGAGACTCGAAAGGTGGCCCCAGGTCCAATGCAGTGTGAAAGCCTCAACCTCGACCGACGATCTTTTTATCTGTGGCACCGCGCCAGAACTACTGGCGCGCCTCCTCCAGTAGCCAGAAGAGGAGCCTTGGGGCCTGTGAGCGCTGTGCCTGCTAAGCTTTAGGCCTCTCAGATGGGGTCGGAGTAGATGGGGTCGGAGGATCGCGCCGCATCGGCGATGCATCAGCGATGCGGCCCGATCGCGCCGCACGGCTATGTCGGGGAAACGCAAGACCCGAGTAAGCCGGAACTCGAGTTTGCCGACGTTTTGTTGACGAGCGCGTCCTGGAGCTCGCGTCAAATTTCAGACTGGGCCTCGTCATTTTTATGGTGGCCCCGTCGGGCCAACCCGAGTCCCCCGTACCCGAGTCTTGCGTCTCCCCGACTGTGGGCTGCTGCGGCCGGCTGGACCTCGACAGGTGGCCCCAGGCGGGGGGGAGTTGCCGGCAGGTGCGCGTCGTGTGGAGGCGGCGGCGACGCCAGCGCGGGCATGCAAGAGATTGGGCGCCGCCCGTCGCCACGAAGTCGGCCGACAGATCGAGAGGATTGGAGTCAGGAGAAGGAAGAGGAGGAGGAGGAGGAGGAGGAGGAGGAGGAGGACGACGAGGAGGAGGAGGAGGAGGACGAGGAGGAGGAGGAGGAGGAGCAGGGGGAGGGGGAGGAAGCCAATGCGGCGTCAAGGTTGAGCAAGCCACGCGGCGTCGGGAGCCAACGCGGAGGTCGCCTCGACGCGACCTTGCCGTGGGCACGCGGAGGTGGAGAGCGGTTGCGGCGGAGGTTCCCGTTTGCTACCATCCCTTGGCCAGCTGAGCACTCTTGCGGTGCGCTCTTCGTGGAAGGTTGGAGCAGGACTTGCGATCGACGGGACGGAAAGGGCCATGGCGAAGGCACCTGCGACTCCAGAGGCCACGAGAACTTCAGCGAGGCCTTCATGAGTGAGCTGGCCAGCGTTGACTACTGTGGCGGGGGGGGCTCTTCCCTCTTGCCCAGAAGCCTTCCCTCCCAGCGGGCGCAAGCGCCGACGGCCACGAGCCGCCCCGCGCGGATGTCGGGGGAGCTGACCGGCCTGGATGGGCCGCGGCGCGCCAGCGGTGCCAGGCCACTGCACTCCACCGATGCTGAGGCGCAGACGTCAGAGGAGGAAGAAGTACCCATACCGCTAACCTTCCCTCGTTGTCGCCTTTTTGGGGTTCCTGGGAGGCCTTTTTATCGACACCGCTGGATTCGGCTCGAAACTCGAGTCAGAACGCACCCTAGGAGAGGTCCGAGGAGTAGCGGTATCGGTTTCTGCTTAGCTTCCCCAACTCCACGGATGCTGAAGTGCAGGAGAGCGTGGCGCAATTCACTCTGCGGCTGACGCTGCCGGGCGCGGCGGTACATTTTTTGCTTCCCCAACTCCACGGATGCTGGGGTGCAGGAGAGCGTGGCGCAATTCACTCTGCGGCTGACGCTGCCGAGCGCGGCGCTAGGCATGAAAGGCCAGGCTGGACGTCGGCGGCGGCAGGGCGCCTCCCCTTCAAGGAGTGAAGCGGAAGAGCAGCAAAGACATGTGCAGCATGGCACCTCGAGGGCCAGTAGCAGCGGCCAGAGCACGGGCAGGGGCTGTGGCGAGGCGCGCGGTCGCAGAAACAGTGCCAACGATGCTGGTGGCCATTGAGATTCCAACGCGGGCATCGGGTCGGCATTTGATATCATTTTGCAGCCCATCTTGCCCCCACAATTGTCCCCATCGCAAATGTAAGATGTCGTGCCTTCTGCGGTTAGTCGGGGGATTGAATATCGAAGATCTCGCCCGCGTGGTGCAGTGTGGAAGGGGGTCCGATGCGTGTACGGCGCGTACGACCTGTCCTTCGCGCCACGGCAGTCCGGAAAAAACAAGTTGTCAATGGAAGTTAAGCTTTTGCCTCGAAGCCAGGGCAAGCCTCGATGGAGGCCAACGACACTCGCGACAGCGGCCGATAACCGCCGCCAGATCATCATCATCATCATCATCAGCAGCAGCATCATCATCACCACCACCATCATCATCATCGACATTATCATCATCATCATCATCATCATCATCATCATCATCATCATCATCATCATCATCATCATCATCATCATCATCATCATCACTCACCATCACCATCATCATGAGCATAATCATCGCCATCGTCAGTATCATAATCATCATCACCAGCATCACCATCACCGCCATGATTAGATCAGCATGTGCATGCTCATCGCCATCATCACCATCAGCATCGCCATCATCATCATCATCATCAGCATCATCATCATCAGCAGCATCAACATCAGAAGCATCACCAGCATCAGCATCATCACATTCCTCTGCTTCATCATCACCATCATCAGCAGCATCATCATCAGCACAGTTGTCAGCATCATCATCATCATCGTCATCATCATCATCATCATCATCATCATCAGCATCATCATCATCATCGCCCCCCACCTGGCTAAGACACACGCCGCGCCTCGGGCGACATCGACGACGACAGCGCCGCCTCCGCCTATAGCACGGCCTGCGCTGGCCGCCACCGCGCCGACGGCCGAGGCGGCGCTGCCGGCGGTGGGCTGGGCGGGGCGCCCTCACCGCTGCCAGAAGTGCTTGAGGCCAGATCTCGACAACAGTACAGTGGGGGCGCGCATCAAGAAACCAGATACTTTTCGTCAGGGTATCCTGGGTTTCTTCGCTCCTCGCGCTGCGCGGTGACTTCTCGTAGCCGTTGAAGGAGGCGCTGCAATCAGGGTGCTCCAAGTTTCCCCTCAGGTGCACCTCGCGCACGGGTTCTCAGGGTTGGGTTTCTTGCGAGGGTTTATTGCGGCCGCGCCCGCACTGTAGGCACACGAAGCAAGACGCTGGCCTCGCAGCGGGCGTCACGCGAGACATCTACGGCGGGGGCGTTGGTCAAGGGATGCGCCCAGGAGGCTGCAGACCCTGGAGGATTCCTGATCTGATGAGGGCGGCGGTGATATCCATGGCCAAGCTTCGATTGGTGTTCCACCGGCCTCCAGACCCTGGCTTCCTTATCTAAGGGTTTCTTATCCAATGCCCCCACCGTGTTATGCCTCGAGAGGTCGCGAGGCCCCCGGGGCTCAATCCAGCGCTCGAGGTCGACGAAGGCTGTGCCCCTACCTTTCTGACAGCAAGATTTCTTGTCGTACGTGTCTACGGTACCGTTGTTTCTCGCTCTTGCACGTTGGCCAATTCGCTACAACGGTGCCCCCGTTCAGGTAGCTCCTTCCGCCAGCGCAGACGACCCCTGCCTAGCCGCCGACGCAAAAAGTTCTGGCACCGTCCATCTAAGAGGCGTTGAAGTGGAGCGCGATTGCCAGAAGCAGGACACCAGTGGGCACGGCTGCCATATGGGCGGCCCAAGGGGGGGGGCGGGCAATTGGGAACGAGGGGACGGAGCAGGTGTTGCCGAGATTGCTCGTCCGTTTGCTCTTGTCCTCTGGGGGATCCCCACTCCTCCATAGACGCACAGCATGTTTGCCTTCGGGGTAGCAGCCGAGTGTGGGCGCCAATGGTATGAGCCGCTCAATGGAAAGTCGGGGCAGCTGTGTGGCTTCGACAGGCATTGGCGCGCCACTGCTGTCATGCTGGCCTGCCTTCATCGACGATAAAGTGTTGCGTCCGTAGCCTTTTTGGCTCAAGGGGGTCTGGGCCTTCGAGGTGCCATGCCCGCGCCCGCGCGCGAGAGCCTCTGCGGGGCCCTGCCGGCGCGGGGCTGCCTCGCGGCGTGCGCGCTGGCCGCCGCGGCCTCGGCCTTGCCCGGCCTCCTCCTGCGCGCGGAGGGCGCCGGGCGAATCGCGGCCTCGGCTGCGCCGGGCGCGCCGGCCGCCGAGGCGTGGGGTGGCCGCGCCTGGGGGCGCCTCGGGGGCACAGGTGCCGCGCAGGCTGCGGGCGCCGCGGCGGCGGCGGCGCACGACGGAGGCGCTCGCGGCGGCGCCGGAGCCGCGGGCGCGGGTGGTGCTCCGGCCGGCTCTGCCCTCTCCGCGGCCTCGTCCGGCGAGGGCGGCGCCCGGGGCGGTGGAGCAGTCAGCGGCCCGCCCGGGGCGGCGGGCGCGGCGGGCGCGGCGCCTGTTGGGCCGAGCGGCGCTGCCGCAGCGGGCACTGCTGCCGTACCCTCCTCACTCGCCGCGCCCTCGCGAGCGGCGGGGAGGCCGTTCAGCGGGCTGTCGGCGCTGCCAGCCCTGTGCAGGGACAACAAGATCGACCAACCGGGCGGCGCGCGGCGGCCGTCGGACATAAAGCCCGCGACGGAGGGCAAGCCGCTCGGGCCGGTGTTCTACCTGCACGTGCCAAAGTCTGGCGGGGCCTCCTGGGAGCGTGACGCTCGGAGGGCTGTGAAGAGCAAGGCGAGCTCCTTCCACCCCGTGGAGACCTGCATCTGCTACGCGAACGGAAAGGACTTCCGGGTCGTGCTGCTGCTGCGGAGCCCTCCAGAACACGTGGTCTCTCAGTACACGCACTGCTCCACCTACCATGGCAAGGGCAACTCATCTTCCAGACTAGCGGAGATGAGTTTGATGCCTCAGCAGCTTGAGCAGTGGGTGCGCGTCTGGGCAGATATCAAGTATCACACCCTGTCGTCCGACAACGTGAGTCAGGCTGCGGATCTTCCCTGCGCCGCTGGCTTGCGGGCTTGCTTGGACAGGTACGTGTACAAAACCGGTTGCAAGTATGTGCCAATCGATTTCCAGACAGAGCGGTTGACATGCGACGGACGCAGACGTATTGATTTCCCATTTCCCAAGCGGTCCGTCACTCTTGCTATCCAGAACGTGGAGGAGGCATGGTTTGTGGGCATCGTCGAAGCATACCAGGAGTCTTTGTGCCTACTTTACGAGCAGGTGAGTGGAGCTTTGCCAGACACGTGCCACTGCACCGACGTCGACAAGTGGCGCGGAATGAAGTTGACGCACAACCAGCACGGCATTACTTCTCGTTCAGTGTCTGAGCTCCCTGCGCAGACCATCCAGCTTATAGATGAGCTCACTGAGGGGGACCGATCAGTTTACAGAGCTGGCGTGGCTCGCTTCTTGAGAGAGATCCGCAGAGTGGAAGCCAGGCACAACACGACGGTGCTGTGCAACAGCACGCTCCAGAAGCTATTGGCTCGAGCAAAAGGAACGATTTCCTTGCCTTAGATGATGTGCGGCACTTCGTCGGAGGGTAGGCCCGACGTTGCCTCATCATCCAGACCACTGTTGCTACTGCGCCTCGCCTTGCCTTTGCGGAAAAAAAATTTGCCTGGCGAAGGACCCAACCATGCGCAGTTGCGAATACCGTCGTTGTATGAACCGCACTCGGGAGAGCTCCCTATAGGGCCACGAAACATGGGAGGGGTGTGCCAACGTTTGTCTGGTGGCAGCTGGTGGGCGCATGCGAAAGCAGCCACTGGGGCTATCGGTGGAATTCCCCATGGGGCCACGGCACACGTGAGGGGTGTGCCGAAATAGGGGCGGTGGGCGTATGCGAACGCAGTCATTGGGCTAGTAAGTGGAACTCGCTGTGGTGACGCGGAACGTATGATGGGTGTGCCGAAATGGCTGGGGTGGGCGCGTGCGAACGCAGCCGCTGGGACCTCCGGTGGAACTCCATCTGGGGGCACGAAACGTGTGGGGGGTGTGCCACAATGGGTGTGCGTGACGCATGCGAACGGTAGCATGTTGGCCTCCGGTTGAGCTCCCTATGGGGCCACAAAACTTTTGGGGGGTGTGCCGACATGGGTGTGCGTGATGCATGCGGGAACTGGCACTGGGGCCTTCGGTGGAGGTCCTTTTGGGGCCACGAAACGTGTGACGGGTGTGCCGACATGGGTGTGCGTGACGCATGCGGGCGGTGGCACTGGGGTCTTCGGTGGAGCTCCCTGTGGGGCCACGAAGCGTGTGAGGGGTGTGCCGACATGGGTGAACGTGACGCATGTGGGCGTTGGCACTGGGACCTTCGGTGGGGTACCCTGTGAGGCACGAAACGTATGAGTGGTGTGCCGACTTGGGTGTGAGTGACGCATGCGGGCGGTGGCGCTGGGGCCTTCGGTGGAGCTCCCTATGAGGCCACGAAACGTGTGAGAGGTGCGCCACATTGGGTGTGGGGGCGGTGGAACTCGGGCCTCCGGTGGAGCTCCCTATGGGGCCACGAGGCGTGTGAGGGGTGTGTCGACATGGGTATGCGTGACGCATGCGGGCGGTGGCACTAGAACCGCTGGTGAGGCTTCCTTTGGGGCCACGAAACGTGTGGAACATCTACCGAAATGGGTGTGCGTGACGCGTGCGGGCGGTGGCACTGGGGTCTTCGGTGGAACTCCCTGTGGAGCCATGAAACGTGTGAGGGGTAAGTTGACATGGGTGAGCGTGACGCATGTGGGCGGTGGCACTGGGAACTTCGGTGGAGCTCCTTTTGGGGCCACGAAGCGTGTGAAGGATGTGCCGACATGGGTGTGCGTGACGCATGCGGGCGGTGGCACCGGAGTAGTGGTAGTAGAGATGGTATTAGTAACGCTAGCAGTAGTATGAGTAGCAGCGGTAGTAGTAGTAGTAGTTGTAGTAGTCGTAGTAGCAGGTAGTAGTAGCATTAGTGACTCTGGTAGTACTAGTAATAGTAATAGTAGTCGTAGTAGTAGTAGCAGTAGTAGTAGCAGTAGTAGTAGTACTCGTAGTATTAGTAGTAGTAGTCGTAGTAGTAGTAGTAGTAGTAGTAGTAGTAGTAGTAGTAGTAGTAATAGTAGTAGTAATAGTAGTAGTAGTGGTCGTAGTGGTCGTAGTAGTAGTGGCAACCATCATAATATGCGCAATGGAAATTACAAGAATATGACAAAAAAAAGTAGTGAAACAATAATTGGTATACATGAAATTTCTGGTCGTAGTAGTAGTACTAGTAGTAGTTGTAATGATGTTCGCCACCGTCGTAAGAGTAGTATTAATCGTAATGGTATTCCAC